TGGGACACACGGGGACACACTGGGGCACAGGGACACAATGGGACACATTGGGGCACACTGGGATACCCTGGGGATACACTGGGACACACTGGGGACATCATGGGGCACACTGGGGCTCACTGGGGACACACTGGGACACCTGGAGACACACTGGGACACACTGGGGACACCATGGGGCACACTTTGTGCACACAACTGCCGAAGCAGTTACTGGCACGCTGTACTGGTACAGCTCTACAGAAGCAGTTACTGGCACGCTGTACTGGTACAGCCCTACAGAAGCAGTTACTGGCACGCTGTACTGGTACAGCCCTACAGAAGCAGTTACTGGCACACAGTACTGGTACAGCCCTACAGAAGCCGTTACTGGCACGCTGTACTGGTACAGCCAGGCACGTGCTCTGCTGGCTGACAGCAGATTTTGCAGGTCACAACATGCTTTTCCATAACAACCCTCCCAGCTCCCTTTGTCAAAGCTACGTGCTCACAACTCAGCCCAGTTTGTGATTCTGTGTCACTAATTTGCTACCAGTCAATTCTTTCCCTCCCAGCAGCTATGGGCGGAATCCGTACACCTTCCAACCGGAAAAAACCACACCAAGCACACACACAGCTTTCACACCCGTAATACACTGAACAGTGAGAAGCATAAAACCAGTTGATGTATTAACAGGAAATCTTCTGTTACGAGTCTGTCCATTTGAGCCATTCTCCTCATTCGGCGCTTCCGTGATCTCCGCTTGCTCTGCTCATTCTTGGATCTCCCCTTCTCGATCTGTAGTTTCCAAAGTCCTGGTTGGCTTTTCCGTTCTTGCTGGTGACCAGTATGGACCTGTGGGAAGGAGAGCACCAGCACACCCTCTTCCCCGTGTAAGCAGAGGCACAAGCCATCCCATGAGCTGAGCCCAGTTCCTTATAATGTACTGGTGGTTTGTCTACAGAAGCGGCACTGGGTTTAAAACGATGATCCACAGCCGCAGTATTAAGAGTTAAACCATATGGAGCTTTGGCTAAGGATTCCTGCGGGGAAGTATATGGAAGGTTCCCCCTTTTTTGTTTATCAAGCATTTTTTTAACGTTAAACGAGTTCGTTCAACAACAGCTCGTCCCGTGGGCGAATGAGGGACACCGGCAGTGTGGGTCATTCCCTGAGTGACTCCCTGGACCACTGTCTGTCCCAATTTTCTTCGGTACTCCCATGGTTTTCTCCAGTGTGAGCAGCAGCAACAAAGGCAGAAAACGTATCAACAGTTCCATTCACGTGTTTAGATCGACCCAACGATGGAATAGAAGTGACGTCAGTTTGCCGTAATCCATCGGCACGCAAACCCCTTGGATTTACTCCTGCCGGAGTATTTGAAGGCACAACACGTTGACAGCCAGGACGGGCACGTACAGTCTGCTCAGCTTGATCTGCTGTTAAAGAAAATAGTTTTTTCAATGAGTGAGCATTTTGATGGAAGAAATCATGTGACAAGTGAGCTCGTTCTAGACGACGGGGTAATGCAACCATCATGGTTGATGCCTCAGCAACTGCATCACCTTCTGCAATTGGTCCTGGCAAGGACGTGTGTGACCGAATATGTCATACAAAATTCTCTTCTATTTTTAACAAGTTTTGCCAGGGAAAGCAGCAGATTAAACAGTGATGGGTTATTAACTGATCTGACAAATGCAGTGTCAATTCGTTGGATGATACCTAGAACATACACTGAGTCTGCTACGGCATTCAGTGGCTCATTGGGAAATAATTTATTCACATGGACTGCTGCTGCTAATTCAACAATTTGGGTTGAGCCAGATGCTGTAACAACAGAATTCCGGTCAGCATCAGACTTATGTTTCCCTACGACTGCTGCTTTCCCAGTTTTTCCTGAACTATGAAGAAACACAGTTCTTGCACCACTTATAGCAACTGATTGTGATGATGATCGTGGCTGAATTGCAAAATCTTTCAATGTCTGTAGGAATTTATGTTGTGGCAAACAATAAGATATTTCACTGTTCAAGTCAGCCATCGCAATCTGAAAAGAAAGGCTCTCGCGCTGTAAAACTGCAATTTCATCCTTAGGAAACGGTACATGAATCATCTGAGGGCCACATCCTGTGAATTGTTGACATCTCAGTCGTCCTTGTGCTACCAGAAGAACAAACATGTCCAGCACGGTAGGGAGAGTCTTAAAAAAGGAATGAGGGAGAAAAAGCCACTCGAGTGTTCTAAGGCACGTGGAATCCTCAGCGTCGCCTGTATTCCATTGTCCCAGCAACGCACGAGGCTGAAAGGTGGTGAAAATCAGAAACAAACAGGAAGTTTTTATTAATCTGATGAGCAGTGTCTGTGCTGACACTGCAAACTTTGCTCTAACAGTCGGCGCTGCATTGGCCATGGCATTCGCAGGAGTTCAAGGTGGATATAAATCAAACTCCTGCTCCGGATCCACGGACCCCGTAGCAGAAGGATCGTTAAGCAACGGATCATCCCCCGGTGGGGCCCCTCAAGGGTCGAGCACCTCATCATGTTCTGTCTCCTCCCGTGGCAGTTCAAGAGAGGGCTCATCCTCAGATACGCCCGATCTATCAGTCGTAGGACGCGGAGGTGGCACGCAGCAGTTTGCCAGATGTCCCCTGCCGGGCGTAAAGGTGTTACTGCCACATAAACCAGGCTCCACGTCACTATTAGCTCTTCTGGGAAATTCAGCTGCGAGTCGTTTGCCTGCAGTTCCCACCCAGCTCTTTGCCATAGCGGCTCTCGTAGGATCCCGCAGCAGGGAACCGGGGCAGTTATTCCGGACCCATAACAGCAGCGCGAATAACTGCGAGGTCTGGAGCCCGAACCCCTGGTCATTGAGAAGTACCTGCCGAGTCTCAGTGTGTAATTTCTGCTCGGCTGGAGCAGTCTGCTCCATCGTAGCAGCAGATAAATCTCCCCACAGCTGCTCACTTTCGTCAGCCAGCAACTGGTGATCTCCTTAGCGGTCAGGACGTGCGGTTCGGCATCCTTCGCCGTCCAGCTGGGGAACACCACCGGTGCCTCCTTAAGTCGTTCGTCTCTCCAGACCTGATTTGGGCGCCGTTCGTAGCGCAGCAAGCACACATCCATAGCAAGATGCTACGGATCAAATCTAAGTTTATTTTTCCTTTACCAAATTTGCAGCATACAGAGCCCTTTCCCAGGCTCCAATCAACGGTAGAAACGTGAATTCCGGTATTTTTAAGTCTTACGCAGCAGTCCAAATGTGTACACAGCCCCCCGTTTATGCCACGTGTTCTTCTCACGGGATGTGCACGGCCTTGATGCCGACCTTGCTTCTTGTTTCTTAGCCTCTGGAAAATCTTGATGTTATTGTAGGGCTCAGAGAAGAACAACAACCATGAGAACCCTGTCTTCTCACAGAGCTCAGAATCCTCTTCTCTATCCACACAAATATAAACCAAATATACTCCTGGCTTTTCCTGAGATACCCTGGAAATGCAGTGAAGATGATGGGCACTTTATGGATGCTGAAGCAGAATATGATCAAACAGGTTCCTCAAGGCGTCCTGTAGCTCCTTGTTCCTCATGCTGTAGGTGAGGGGATTCAGTGCTGGAGACACCACTGAGTACAGAAATGACAACACCAGGTTGAGAGATGGAAAGGAGAGAGAGGATGGCTTGAGGTGGGCAAATGTGCCAGTGCTGACAAACAGGGAGACCATGGCCAGGTGAGGGAGGCACGTGGAAAAGGCTTTGTGCCGTCCCTGCTCAGAGGGGATCCTCAGCACGGCCCTGAAGATCTGCACATAGGACACCACAATGAACACAAAACACCCCAAAACTAAACAGGCACTAACCAGAAGAAGCCCGACTTCCCTGAGGTAGGAGTGTGAGCAGGAGAGCTTGAGGATCTGGGGGATTTCACAGAAGAACTGGTCCAGGGCATTGCCGCAGCAGAGGGGCAGTGAAAAGGTACTTGTAGTGTGCAAGAGAGCATGGAGAAACCCAGTGGCCCAGGCAGCTGCTGCCATGTGGACACAAGCTCTGCTGCCCAGGAGGGTCCCATAGTGCAGGGGTTTGCAGATGGCAACGTAGCGGTCGTAGGCCATGATGGTGAGGAGACAATACTCTGCTGAAATGAAAAAGACAAACACAAATACTTGGGCAGCACATCCCAAGAAGGAGATATCTCCTGTGTCCCAGAGTGAATCGGCCATGGATTTGGGGAGAGTGGTGGAGATGGAGCCCAGATCAAGGAGGGAGAAGTTGAGGAGGAAGAAGTACATGGGGGTGTGGAGGTGGTGGTCACAGGCTATGGTGGTGATGATGAGGCCGTTTCCCAGGAGGGCAGCCAGGTAGATGCCCAGGAAGAGCCAGAAGGTCAAGAGCTGCAGCTCCCGTGTGTCTGCGAATGCCAGGAGGAGGAACTCGGTGATGGAGCTGCCGTTGGACGTTTTCTTCCCCTGGGCATAGAGACCTGTCCATGGAAGAAAAGACAGGGAGAAGTTGTGCAGCCTTCTCTCAATCTGTTCAATTGCTCTTAGAGACCCACCCAACTGCCTCTCCGCTTTCAGGAAGACCTTGGGCAGCTCCTCTCTGTGCACTCTGGTTGGTGCTGGCTGACAGTCCCCCAGGGAGCTGTGAGCTCTGCAGGATTCAGTCCTGCCCTACAGCAAGAGGTCAGTAGGAACACGGGGAGATCTCAGATTAAATCCACTCACGGCATCAAAGGGCTTTTCAGCATCATCACTCCCAATTCACCCGGCTGCAGAGCAGAGATGAGGGGATTTGGGTTTGTTTGTTCTGTTCTTGTTTCCCCATCACACCTGAGGAGTGTTTTTAAGGCAGAAACCCTTGGCATTTCTGCTGCACCCCAAGTGAAACCCTGTGGGTCCTGAGAGTGCAGAGGGAGGACAGCCAGTCTGTCCATCAGCATTGCTCTCAGCTGCCCTGTGCTGGCACCTCTTTCAGCTGGAGGACGATCCCACGCAGACGTTCCCCTGAGAAGAAACTGGACACAGCTGAGGGCAGAGGAGCCAAATTCCCCAGTGCAGCTCTGCCAACCCCTCCCCCCGTCTCACTGTACCTGGGGAGGATCTCAGCTCTCCCCTCCCAGCCAGGGACAC